TAAACGTAAATTTATTTTATACAGTTTTACAAATCAGTCTGTCTGCAAAAAGAGGTTTTGTTTAGTTTTTGGCAGGATTTGTCAGGTTTAGCTCACTCCTGAGTACAAATGTATCCCCAAAATATGGCACACATTCACACAATATGACTATAGCCCTGTTTACATGCGTCCCAAAATTCTGTCTATAGCTATCATACAGCTGTTTTACTTTGAATCCACACATAACAGCACAGTTTAAAGTGTTGTTTTGAGTGATTAATGGATGAGTAGCTGCTTTAATCTCTTGTGTTTGTACCTGTGAATGTGGTCTGAGTGATCATTTCAGACCCGTTTATACGGTGTGTGTTTGCTGCCCTCTGCTGTTCACCACGCTCACACACACTCAGCGCTGATCTAGTGTTTGTGTGTGTTTGTGTTTCAGAGACATCACTTCGCTCAGGCCATCGCCATCCTCAACACACAAGGCTGCAACATCTTTGAGAAGTTCTCCAGAAAGGTGCATCACTCCTTCCTCGACTCCGATTAAAAAAGGGGAAAATTCTTGAATGGTTTAGTTATCCTGACCATGATGCTTTGCTCTCTCTGGTGTTCAGGACTATCAGCGGATGCTGGATCTGATGAGAGACATCATCCTGGCCACAGATCTGGCTCATCACCTGAGGATCTTCAGGGACCTGCAGAAGATGGCTGATGGTAAAAATATAAATTTTGTAAAATAAAAATTATAATGTAAATAAGTAATATTAACAAATGTCAGCCACAGGGTTATTATAGTTAACTAAAACTAAAATCATTAAAAAAAAAAAAAAAAAGAGTTACAGAATGATCCTGTCTTGACCATGCCCACGTATGACAAACCATTCTATTTGTATGTTTCAAACATATACTATAAAGAGTTCTTCTCTCAGGGGGATCTGGTGAGTTAAACAGCAGTATTGTGTTTGAAGTGTTTTTAGTTCAGAGAGGTTTCTATCTGTGCTAACCGGACTTGATCAAAAACACTCGTTTAATTACCTTTCCAGCCGACATGTGACCAACTTTCAACATTTCTATAGCAAAAAAATTTTTACAAATCTGCATATATAATACTAAATGGTTGTAAAAAGGTTAACAAACAATTATAAGTTAATGTTAAAATTTTATAAAAATTTGTTGAATATATGTTGAAAAGATTTAGCAATTTGCTAAATTTAAACAAAATTCAGAAAGTTTGATTCACCAGACAAATGTTGAAATTCTGCCTGGGTTTCATTATTCATGTAAAAAAATTTTTTTTTTAAATTAATTTAAAATAAAAAGAAAATGCTGAGATATTTGACATACCACTGGAAAATATGTATTTGTTGTACTATAGTATTATAGTACTTTCAGGTTTGTTTTTTTCTAATTACTAAGATTTATTTCCAGCGTGGCTTTTTACATTTTAAATTGTTTTAATTAATGTTTATTAAACCTTTATTTGCTTTTATGGCTCATATAGTCTGATGCAGTGAGAACATGCATCAGAAAAAAAAACTTTAATCTTATTCAGAGACTCAAACTGAACAAATGATTCAATTTGCTGCAGATGCTGATATTTCTATGATGAAATCCTGATGCTTGTGATGTAAATCAATGAGATGTTTATAACAGTAGAGCAGATACGGACATAAAATGATCTAAATATCAGCGGTCGCTCTATATCTCCAGTAATATGTCTGAGTAAGATGAGATTGAAATGCTCCAAACATATAATGCTGGCTCATCACCTGAGGATCTTCAGGGACCTGCAGAAGATGGCTGATGGTAAAAATATAAATTTTGTAAAATAAAAATTATAATGTAAATAAGTAATATTAACAAATGTCAGCCACAGGGTTATTATAGTTAACTAAAACTAAAATCATTAAAAAAAAAAAAAAAAACTTTTCCTAACTGAAATAAACATTAACGAAAAAGTTGCCAAAGAAACATTTTCATTTAGTTTAACTTAAAATAATAAAAATGACTAAAAATAAAAATAAAAACTAGAAATAAAACTAGATAAAAAAGTTTGTCGAGACAAACTTTAGGTTGGCTTGAGAAAACCTAGCCTGAAAGTTTAAAGTAGTTGTAAAAGCCTGAAGTTTGAAAATGTAGATAGATTCGATAGATGTTGACAACATGTTTCTAGCATGATTAGCATGTTTTTAACATGATTGGCCTGTTACGAGCATATTGTTGGCATGCTCCAAACATATAATGCAGTGATTGAGAGCTGAAGAAATAAAGGCTCCTCAGAAGATGTGAGATGTTCTGGAGGCTTGTGAAGATCATTCCTCCGCTGAGGAACAGTGAAAGTAAAGCTTCTGGAAACAAACGCTCCTCAAAAGATCCTGAGGATCAGATTTGAGACTCTAAAACATGATTATTCTGCAGTTATTCTGACCTTTACTTGATAAACATCAGTCAAGATTTGACACGAGAAGCTCCAGCTGAAGCTGGACGTTTGTACAATTACACTAAAAGAGCTTCGACTGGTTAAACAACTATCAATCAGAGACAGAAGACATGAGGAGATTGAGTGTGAAACATGTTTAACAGCAAATCATATCACTTAGAGCTTTATGAATTCATGATTCACAAGACTCTGTTCTTGTGTCTTCAGGAGAAGGCGATGGGAAACAGACCCAGTGAGATGATGGATCGTGAGAAAGCCTACATCCCTGAACTCCAGATCAGCTTCATGGAGCACATCGCCATGCCAATATACAAGTCAGAGAATCACTCATTTCATGCATGTGATGCTGGTTATTCATCAAGAGCAGGGGCCTCATTTATAAAGCGTGCATACGCACAGATTTGATCTTAAGAGTGTGCATGCGCTTAAATCCACACCAACGATCATAAGTGACCCTGGAGCACAAAACCAGTCATAAGGGTAAATTTTTTGAAATTGAGATTTATGCATCATCTGAAAGCTGAATAAATAATATTTTCGTTGATGTAAGGTTTGTTAGGATAGCACAATATTTGGCCGAGATACAACTATTTGAAAATCTGGAATCTGAGGGTGCAAAAAAATCTAAATATTGAGAAAAATCGTCTTTAAAGTTGTTCATTAGCATGATTAGCAAGTGACTGGCATGTCGTTAACATGATTAGCAAGTTACTAGCATGTGGCTAGCGTGTCTCTAGCATGATTAGCAAGTGACTAGCATGCCGCTAGCGTGTCTTTAGCATGATTAGCATGTCACTAGCATGCTGCTAACATGATTAGCATGTCACTAGCATGCTGCTAGCATGATTAGCATGTCACTAGCATGTCGCTAGCATGATTAGCAAGTAACTAGCATGTCTCTAGCATGATTAGCAAGTAACTAGCATGTCTATAGCATGATTAGCAAGTGACTAGCATGCCGCTAGCGTGTCTCTAGCATGATTAGCATGTCACTAGCATGCTGCTAGCATGATTAGCAAGTAACTAGCATGTCGTTAGCATGATTAGCAAGTTACTAGCATGTCGCTAGCATGATTAGCAAGTAACTAGCATGTCGCTAGCATGTTTCTAGCATGATTAGCATGTCACTAGCATGTTAACTAAAACTAAAATCATTAAAAAAAAAAAACACTTTTGCTAACTGAAATAAACATTAACGAAAAAGTTGCCAAAGAAACATTTTCATTTAGTTTAACTTAAAATAACAAAAATGACTCAAACTAAAACAAACAAACAAACTATAAATAAAATAATAATAATAAAATTACATAAAAACTAACAAAGTGATGCTGGTTATTCATCAAGAGCAGGGGCCTCATTTATAAAGCGTGCATACGCACAGATTTGATCTTAAGAGTGTGCATGCGCTTAAATCCACACCAACGATCATAAGTGACCCTGGAGCACAAAACCAGTCATAAGGGTAAATTTTTTGAAAAGTAACTAGCATGTCGCTAGCATGTTTCTAGCATGATTAGCATGTCACTAGCATGTTAACTAAAACTAAAATCATTAAAAAAAAAAAACACTTTTGCTAACTGAAATAAACATTAACGAAAAAGTTGCCAAAGAAACATTTTCATTTAGTTTAACTTAAAATAACAAAAATGACTCAAACTAAAACAAACAAACAAACTATAAATAAAATAATAATAATAAAATTACATAAAAACTAACAAAATCTAAACTGGACATATAAAAAAAAAGCTAAAAAATAAAATAAAATAAAAATGATTTCAAAATATTATTTAAAACTATAAAGTATGTCAATGACACTAAAATAACACTAGTTAGTCCTGAAAAATAAAATATAACTTAACTGAAATAAAACCACTGTTGTGAGATATTGACTGGAGTTATTAGCTGATGTGAGTATTAGCCTCTTCATCATCCTGTGTGTGTGTGTGTGTGTGTGTGTGTGTGTGTGTGTGTGTGTGTGAGTGTGTGTGTGTG